AATCCAAACTCAAACAATCACAAAACATATCTAGATGATAACATATTCTCTCCTTATTTTTGATAATCGATGACCGGATATCAAAAATAAATAAATCATCTGGATGGAGAGTGTCAGATACAAAGAGCTACTCAAGCTCTCCCTAGATGTATGAAGGGTCTCAATAAAACATGAGAATGAGAGTAAAATAAAATACTCTCCGTTCATTTGTAGTTGGCTAATTCTATCACTGAAAACTGCTTGAACAAATACCAAAGTAACAATAATAACTCTTCATGAAAAATCTCTGTTGTGCTGAAAAATACCAATATACTCAAACTGTAGTGTCAGAACTCCTAAAGTGGTCTTCAAAAAAATAAAATCCACATGATCAAGATACATGGTTCGTAAACCGAAGACCAAGAGCGACTGGTCATAAAAATCCCATAAAGCGAAGGTTGCGAAACAATTTTGTTGATCAGACGTAACTACGATACAATCCTCACGAAGAAAAATATGATGTCCACACTGCAGTTTTGAGTAATCCTCATGGAAAGAATAAAATTCTTCCAATATAATCAGGATGAAGTAAACCAATGTGACTATCATAGGTTGGGCTGTGGTAAAAATTGGTATTGAAAAAATAATTTGTGTTTAAAATAAAATAAAGAAATAATTTTAATAAAAACAATAAAAAGGCCAAGGTATTTGTTAGGTTTCAACAAAAAATTTGCTAAATAAAAAAAATTTGCAGAAAAAAAAAATTGGTGTTAAAGGCAAAAACAATAAAGAATAAATGGGGGGGGGGGGGGGGGCTGAAATGAAGGGTAGGAGGCTGAAATGAGAGGAAGAAGGAAGCACCGAGAAGGGTTAATGAGGAGGGGGGGGTCTGCGGGTTGAAAAGGGTAAGGGTGAAAGGGGTCTTCAGGTTGAGAGGCCTGCAGTAGAAAGATGAGGAGGGAGTAGGTACCGAAGAGGGTAGGAGGTGGTAAGGCTCTGGTGGGTCTTCGGGTAAAGGCTGCAGTGAAAGTGTAAGGAGGAGTATCGAAGAGTAATACTGAAGAGAGTGAGGTTTGCGGAATAGCGAAGGGGCTAAAGAGCGAAGAGGCGGAGGCTGAGATTGGTTTGTGGTAGTAGGAGCCTACGGTGTGAAAAGGCGAGGAAGCGACATGATAGAGAAGGAAGGAAAGGACACCTCTTCGGTATAGGTCTGCAATATCTCATATACGTGTAAGGAGGTCTTCGGTGCACTGCAAAAGCTGCTCGGCAGTCCTTGGTCAGCAGCAGGTCTCCGGGTAAGGAGGCTGAGCAGGTCTCCGGTAAGGAGGCTGAGCAGGTCTCTGGTACCAAGTTTGAGAGGGGTACTGCATGGGCTTCTCAACAGACTTTGGTAGGGTAGTTTCATTGTTAGTTTTTGGTCTTTGGTTATGGGAACCGAGGAGGAGTATTTTGACGAAAAAAAATGTCATTTTTCAAGAAAAATTCATACCGAAGAGCAAGGTTGCAGAACTCGTTACTCGGTACCTGTTCGGCCGACTACCGAGTAGCGAGTACCCGGGAGTACTCGAGAGTACTCGGGGAGTACTCGGATTCGATAATTCATATAGAAATATTTTTAGGGAAATTATATATGTCAAAATCATAAGTTGATTGAAATATATAACAAAATTAGATACATGTGAATACACAAAAGCTGAAAAATCACATAATGGTCTTACTTCGCGAATAATTACTGAAAATTTAAGATATATATGTAGTAATAATCATATGTATGTGTTAAATAATAAATCATTAAGTATATTATAGATATTAATCACCGAGTTGACCATGTTTTACAAAACTACTCAGTTTAGTAAATAGGCCGATTGGGGAGTACTCGGGATTTTGTAACTCGCCTCGATAAGGGGCCGAGTAGCGAGTACTCGGAGGAGTAATCGGCCAACTCGGCGAGTTTTACAACACTGCCGAAGAGCCTATATCTTCAAGTTTATCAAAGGGAATCTTTCCTAACGCATATGGGGATGAGGTGGAGTGTTAGGAAGGTAAAAAGTTGAGGGGACAAGGCATGGGTCAAGGGAAAAAGGTGGAGTGTGCAGGGAAATTAAATGGACAAAAGGTGATGGGATTGGCCAAGTCACATGGTTTTGCTTTAGGAGGGAAAATAAATTTGGAGTACTCTTTCTAAAAAGAGTAAAGAGAATAAAGGCCTTTTGCAAACACCTTATTACGTCCAATATCTTCTATACTAAAGATTCACAACAACATTAGAGTTGAAAGGCATGAACATCATACCTTTTTTATGATGAACTTAAGAAGTTACTGGACAAAATCTTCAAAGAGAAACTCTTCTCCACTATCTTCAATAAACCCAAGAAATTGTATCCATTACCAAAGAATAAATAACATGCTTGGAACAATTCTTCAAGTATTTTTGGATGACAAAAATCTTCTTCTCCTTTTTTTTTCAACAACGTCATAAGAGCTTTGCAAACCCGGATTTTCCAGTAGAAATTATGAACGAACATTAGCAAAATTTTTATTCTTCTAAGCTTGAATCAACACTCAAAAGTAGAAAACCTCATCATAAAAATTTCCGGTTTGAACACGAAAATTCTTGCAAAAATCGAACAAATATTTAAGATAAACACCGATCGAGAGTCGTTCCCTTGAACTAGTCGCTTGAATCTTTAAGGTACGGCTCGGAGACCAATTGAAGCCCATTTTGACGATTGGTTGATACAGAATAATAAGAACATCTTGAGATTTAATGAACATAAAATATGGAAAACATAAAAGAGAAGAGTAATTTGAATTTCGGGGACATAATTCCTTAAATGGGGGAGAATGTAACAATAGCATCGAAACATATACGTTGTCACGACATGTGGTGTCTTCGCATTTTGGCACTGACTGTTATTAACAAAAAGTGGCCAACGTCGAGTTTAATAGGTTTAATATGTGTTATATATATATATATATATATATATATATATATATATATATATATATATATATATATATATATATATATATATCAACATATGTAAAAATATATAGTTTCGTATTAAGATAAATAGTAAAAATCAACCAAATCAATCGTACATCGTTAAAATTAGTGCGCCGAAACATACACACACACCCACACCCACACACACACACACATATATATATATATATATATATGTATATATATATATATATATATATATATATATATATATATATATATATAGTATTTTGAAAGTATGCGTGATCCCGATCCAAAAGATATAAATTTCATAAAAATTCTAATTCATATGAAAGATATATGATTTTTATAAGATATAAAATCAGCCGCGTATTTAAAAACTCTTAATGTCAAACGGTAAGGAGAGAATGGTTGACTTCTTGGTAAAGTCACCAAAAGGAAAATCGTGGTACTCTATAAGTTAGGAATTTTGGTAAGAGGAACACCAAAATTGGAGTATTATGATTTTTATAAAATTAGTAAATCATTTAAAAATAAGGGCTAAAACTAAAAGTCGGAATTAGTCAATACAACCTAAATGAAAGTTGTAGTACCCGTCGAGAGCTACATGTAGATAGAAAGAACGTCGAAAAAAGAGTTTGTATGAAATAGATATGAATTTTTAAAGTTTCACAAAGAGCGCTCGGCGCAACAGGTATGCACGGCGCGCACATGCTTCTAGAAGAAGGTACAATACACCAATAGAAAAAAGACACGTGTCAAACAAGCAATGAAGCTACGTCAAAAGGCCGCGACGCACACTTCCCATGCACTGTGCACATTCTTAGTATTTATAGAGCCTGCTGCTGCTAATTTGTTTCTCACCCCAAATTTGTTTCCTTTCTCTTGTTCTCTATTTTGAGAATTCCTTCCAAAATCTTAGAAAAGTTATTATTTAGGTATTCTAGTTGTTTGTAACTTAGTTCTCGATCTCGGTCGACCCCGAGGTGATCTTCTAGTCCTGTGTCCTGATTCTACCCTACTTCAGTGGTTTTACACTTTGCAAGTGAGTTCACGACCCCTATTTTATTGTTTTAAAATGCTTTAAGGGGAATACATTCTTAACAAATGATTTTAATTATCAATGTATTTATTTTATAAATATTAAGTCATTTTACAATAAGCTAGATATCATAAGATAATATAGTTGTAGATACTATGTCTATATTTAAGCTATGATCTGTATCTAAAAGATATGATGCTAGATAATCTAAGAGTAGGTATTACCTAGATGTTACAATGCAAATCCCCAGGAAACCTTAATACCTAGGAGTTATGCTAGACAATATTTAGGATATGCACCGTACTTAGTTGTTACTTTACCCAAATATCCGGTTAAAATAACCACAATTAGGGTATATATATATATATATATATATATATATATATATATATATATATATATATATTGGAGTAGGATCAAATGAGAACACCTAAAAGGTTGAGAACGCGAGAACAAATATCATCCATCTATTATCTTAGATCTAAGGCTATAATTAATTAGAGATTTTTTTATTATTAAAATGTTTAAAATCAATTAATTTGACTTAAAATTAATAAAAGGGTATTAGGGTAATAAATCATTCCCTTATTTTAAACAACTCCTAAAATCTCTCTCTCTCTCTCTCTCTCTCTCTCTCTCTCTGTATACCTAAACCTAATACTTTATCATTCACTCCATTATCTTCCACTTGCGTCGCCGCCATCCACGAACCACTTTCACAGTCGGAGAGCGAAAAAGCATCACCTCTGCCTTCGCCACCATGATCGCCGATGATAGCCACAACAACCTCAAGTCTCCGATGGCCACAATCAAAAAGATAAATCAAGATGGTTTGTAGATTCGCAATCATCCCCAACCAAATAAATTTATACCTTGAAGGGGTTTGTTTCTTCTAGGGTTTCTTTCGTCCCCATTTTGGGTGTCATCATTTCTCTGTTTCGCTTGGAACTTTTCACAAACATGTGGTGTGCGTGCACGGTTTGATTCGGTTTTCTCCATAGGGACAGAGTCATGGGTTGTGTTTGTTGCAAGTTTCCATCATCTTTGTCTGATGGTGGTAAGAAGATCAAGCGAATGAGACGAAAAAATGCCACAACAGATGAGTTTTCTGAAGTTATTCCTATCCTTTCTCATGATTTCAAGCTAGAGTGTGTTGCGCTTACACGACGTGGGTATTTCCCTGACACCCCGAATAAAGATAATCAAGATTGTTTCTGTATCAAAACAAGTATCCAAGGTAACCTGGCGGCCGGAGGGCGCTTCTTTTGTCTCGAATGGAATGAGGGAAGGGGTGTCGATGGGGCAGTTGCTTCGATCGGTAATGCGCCTCTTCTCTTTTCTTTTTAGTTATCAATGAAGTTTAATAAATAGGTTTAGCTTCAATTTTGTGTTCATTCTCCAATTGGGATCTTTGCATCCATTGATGGCAATGAATAGGTTATATTTCAGTTAACGAACCAGAGAAGATCTAATAACAGTTGATAACAAGGCATGCTACTTATATGAATACAATGTCAGATATATCATTTGCAGTTAATAATCAATGAATGCTCCATGAGGCTGGTTCGAGAGGAGCATGGAAATCAGCCACGACAATGCAGGAGAGGGGAAAAAGCCAAGAGGCGTTTGCCCCTTTTGATTTCACCAGAAACACAACCCCATTCGGGTGGTTATTCTTGGCAGGGAACGAAGAATAAGAAATGATAATTTTTACACAATTTTTATTTTGTATTTATTTATTTATGAATAGACTGTATTCATTTGTGAATATCAGTGTATTCATGTGTGAATGACTATTTAATTATACATAATTGTTTCGGTAACATTTTTACCGATCCAATGAATAAACATTCATATAGTGGGAGATGGGAGATTTATCAAATGAAATACCGACACCAATAGATTTCGGAAGGAGCGCGAAGATGTTTTATTCATTTATGATTGTAATTGTAGTACTAGTTTCCGTATAAAAAATATATATCGTAACTTATTCATTTACTATTATAATTATATTCTTATATGAATAGAAATGTGTTTTATTTATTTATATATGATTATCATTTTAGCTGATTTTATAATCTTTTTTTTCGGGTTTTATTCATTTATGATTTTACAAGTGTATTAATAAATACATCTGAGTTAATTCATTTATAATTTATAATTTTATTCATTTTAAATGAAATGTATAAATCATTATTTACGAAGATATATTTTTTTAAAAAAATAAATGAGATAAACCGATAAATTATTCATTCTCTTGATATTTGATTGCTAAAAACAAAACATAAATTGAAAAATGAAATGAAAAAAAATGTTTTTTAGATAAAAATTAAATCATGATTTTATTAATTATTGGTTCATTAAATGAATAGGATCTAAAAAATAAGATATTTTGTGTAATTGTCATCATAATCACTAAAATTTAGGAAATTATAATTTAATTAGATGGTAAAATTTCATTTATGCTCTCTGAAAATGATTGGTCTACAACTATTCTCGCGTTCTCAACCTTTTAGGTATTCTCATTTGATCATCTCCCTATATATATATATATATATATATATATATATATATATATATATATATATATATATATATATATATATATTATATATATATATATATATATATATATATAGAGAGAGAGAGAGAGAGAGAGGTAAGAATGGAAAGATAAAAGATAAATACATTAAGTCAATGCGTTAGTGAGTTGATAATTCATCCAAAATCCTTGATTAAGTTCGACATTTGCCCAATACCTATAATCATTAATCTTGCGAGAGCCTGAAAGCATCAATTATAGGGAATCATGTTAATACATTTAAAAAATTACCTTAGATCTTAGATTACTATTAGAGACACCTGATATGGTAATTAAAATACGTTAGTATCGTTAGAAATACTTAAACAATAGTAAATTAGAATTAACAAAAGATAATCCTAATTAAAATACATTAGGATCGTGAGATATCCTAAAAATATAATAAATTAGGATTAATAAATGATATCCTAATAAGATAGAAAATATGATCGTTAAATATCCTTAAAAAATAGAAAGTTAGGTTAATAAAATATTTTAGAAAGGTTTTTCTCAAAGAAAAAGCATTCTTAAAAGTTACCCAAAATCGAAAACTCTAAAAGCTTTTGAGCTCACCAACATTACATTGACATTTTCAAAACCTCATGTATTCCTAGAAGGCTGTGAGATGGAAGCCTACACTCCCGGAAGCAACAACTGATGGAGGAAGCAACTAGAAAACCCCTCAAGTTTAACGTTAATGTCTATTTGTTAGGACACCTTTCTGTAATAAAAACCATAGAAATCCGATGTAACGTTTTATCTATAAATAAAATAGACGTTTATGTTACATATTTTGTTTTGTATTGTTCAATATATGTTCAAGGACTGAGAACCAGCATCCCTAGGTCACACTACTTGGCGTTTCCACCGACGGCCGGGCAGGGTGTGACAACATTGAAAGATTACCTAGTTGCTTTGTTGGGCTACCCTAGGATAACATAGAACCTAGTCATTATGCTAACCAAACTTGAGAATAATCATTGTACTTAGGTGTTATTCTACTCTAATATCCTTTCAAAGAATATCAAAACGATGATATATATATATATATATATATATATATATATATATATATAATATATATATATATATATATATATATATATATATATATATATCAGTAGAATTATGTAATAGAATCATATTAAAGGAAAATTAAATGGAAGAATAATAATATCAATAATCATACTTTAAGGTTAAACAAAATTGTTGTTAAATGAGTATCAATATTCATCCTTTAGCCGATTAAGTTTTGCTTCCCCTAGCCTATAGTCGTTAAATCTTTAGTGGGCGAAAAAAGTATGTATAGATCTATACGAAATTGACACCCCCACCTCTAGTTGTTGGCTACAATCCTTGACGGTAAAGTCACAGCAGGCATAACTTTCTAAACTACATCACAATGTCAGATTAAGAGTTTGGGTAGGGCAAATGTCAAGTCAAAATCTTGATTATACGAACTCACCGTAAAATTGTCCATCAACCTTAATTAATTAAACTACCTAGAGGTAACACCTTGAAAGTAGGCATATTATGAAAAGATAAGAAAAAGGGATAATAATTTATAAAAGAAAGATTATAAGATAAGTACAAAAGGAGTAATATATCTTAGGAAAGCAAGATATAAAGAATAGAAATATGTTAAAAAGAAACGATAAAATTATTGTAAAAGTATAAAACCATAAAAACATGTGAACTCACAATGAACTTTTCAAAACCCTTGTATTCTCAAGGAAATGAGTAGGAGAGGCGGTGGAGTGTTAAAGGAAGTCATCACGTACGTGGTTGATGAAAGTTTTATTTGTTCCTCTATTATTTAGTCTATGATTAGGAAGTTTGCTTGGATATCATATAGTATAACCCTTTATTAGTAATGAATAAAAGAAATGTTTGCCTGATATTTCTGCTTATTGTTCAATATACCTGCCTCCATGATACAATGTCCTAACATCGTACAACTCGACATTTTCGCTGCCGGCGTGGGTGTGACAGCCTACATAAATATGATGTATCAACTTATTATTGTTTGAAATATGTTCCTCGGAAATGATGCAAAAAACTTGATATACTCTATGCAATCTAATAAAATAAACCTATTTAATGTAGAAATCTAGTTTTAAATACATAAACCTAACAAATATAAACATACTTTCCTCACTAGGTAGTGTACCTAATAATTAATAGTATAGCTAGAGTAAGTATGTATGTTGAACATAATGAGAACAAAAGTGTACCAATGGATAAGAAGCAACATAATAATAAAATAAATAAGATAATATGAATTATTATAAACTAAATAATATAAGAACTCAAGTATAACTAACTAGATAGATAAATAAATATATAGATAATAGTAATACTATTTTTTTAATAGATTTCGATTCACCAATGATTATGTTTTATTCATAAGAAGTGCAATAAAAACTTATAGATATTCACCGAATTATAATTAATTAACTCCAATCTATATTCATTAATTATATGTTTCTAAGTATCTACTCGCAGGTATAGGCTTCGTAGATCCATTCTATTAAGATCATATTATGAAAGACTCAATTGGTATGATCAATCATAGGGTTAATGGAAACTTCTCAATTTTCATAACTCAATAGTACAATCATGAAGATTAAATCAATATTATTATGCTTAACTTAGGGATGTATCCACTAGTTGATATGTCTACAACCTCAATTAGTAAAGTTCTGATCTCCTACTTGTTAATGAAAACATTGATTCAAGTAACAAAATTCAAACCTAATCTTAGATCAAACACTCAGCTAAATAAACATAATAACACTAATATGAACGCACTTGGATCCTTAATGAAGTAATCATAGTAAATTGAACATCTACTAGAATTCTTTTAATGAATCAAAACATAATCATAATCAAATCATCTACATCTAAACAAAGCTATTGGGAATTAGCCCATAATCTAAACTAAAAGCCTTACACAATACTCCAATCAGTCTTTCTGCTTCAGATGTTGATTTGTTCTATAAACTAGGGTTTCTAATAACCTCTTTCCCCATATTGGCCATTTCCAGTTTTTCTTCTAGAAATTATATGCATGTTCTATAGGATATATCCTACGGGCAAAATTACGATCCTATATATAGCCTTCCATATCTGACTTATTTTGTCGTGCGATTACATAAATCGTAGTGAAACTTCAATTTTTAGTAGTTTCCTTAGAATCTTTGATTTCTTTATAATATTCTTCATACAAATTTCAAATTGTTTTCCTTAGCTCTTAATCCAAGAAAATATGCTCTAATCTTTCCCTTTTTAGCATCTACTTCATCAGATGGTCATTTTTTGCTACAAAACATAAATATATAGCAATTAACTATATGTTGTCCATTTTTAACCTTAAAAGCATTCATAAAAGTATATGAAATGTCCTTCAAAATTTGTATAATTGAGGAGACATCAACATGATCATCAAGAAACTTGTGGTCAAGAGTGTACTTTATCGGTCGTGTAAATTGCAATGTCCTTTCTGGCGACCTTGAATATGTAAGTGAGTTAGTACCATACCCCATTATAAAGAGCGTTATCGGTAATACTTTTTGATGCAGAAGTTAGGTTAAATGTTTGATTTATGATGTGAGTTGTGAGATGATATTGCCTCGTCATTATTTAGGTATATATTCAGAGTGCATTCTAGGATGGGTTGTCCTTGTAGAGTGATTATCAACTAGCCATATTTTACTAGGTAGATTTCATGATCCTTTTTACTTTTATATGATTTATTTGAGATATTTGTCCTTAACAAATGTTGAGCCACTTTTTCTAGGAATGTGTCTTCGAGTAGTTAATATTGGCCTTTATTCGAGAACTATGATTTTGTGTGCTTTCTCGATAGTATCTTGCTTTGTCATCTATGGTTTTCTAGTTATCTAATTATCGAGGTGAAGGGTATATAGATTCCAGGCACACTATATGGGAACCCATTAACAGACATTTTAATGTTAAGGGTTAAAAGAAAATAAAGAAGTGTGCAGTGCAAATGATAGAAAATCTATATTATTTATCATCCTAATCCAAGATGCCCATATCTGATTTAATGATATTTTTGTAAATTGATAAAATTTGGAGATTTACCTATAAGCACCATAATAATATTGTAATTTTATGATTATCCAAAAAAATTATTATGAGAGTTTTTATTTCAACCCAAAGATTTTTCAATTTAATTATAAATTTAAAAGCTTCGTTATAAAAGTTTTTTGTTCAATATTTTGTTCATTTACATGTGTTTTTTACTATCAGATAAGTTTTGTGGAAACGACTTCAAATATAGGAAATATTTATATATTCTTGTTTTCTTGATTCGATGCTTATATAGCACAAAAAACATATTGAAAAAAATTTCTTCGGTTGGGTGTTATATTTATCTTTCACCTTTCAACCTTTTTAGGTCACCTTCCAACTAGAACTAGTAAATATTGAAACACTAGAGTCTATGGGGTAGGTTCATCTGAGCTTGTGCTTGAGGAAAACCAACCTTCTTATGTTAATGTCTATGATATATATTGTTACGTTACACGTAGATCTCATAATTATGTTAAGTTGCATGAAAATCCAACAAATTAATGAATTGTCAAATTTGAGAATGTAGCATCAATGAAAATGTAGCATTAAAATCATAATATCGTCAAAAATATAAATCTAACCTAATAAATGAAAATGCTATTGCCACTTGTCATTCACTCATTTATTTGGCCACATGTCATTTTGTCATAATTTTGAAATATATTTATTTTCCACTTGTCAATTACTTTATTATTTATTTATTTATATACTATATCATTAACATTAATTTAGTTTCCATAAATTAAACCTACTATAATAACTATTAATTTCAAATTTGAAATTTCAATTTTAATTTCAAATAAATTTATACTTTAAACATTTGTATTTATCATTTTATAATAATAAGTCGTTTAGTACACGGGTCTAACAATTAAACACATAATTTTAATTAATTTATTTTTTACATGTTTTTTTTTTCATAATTTTCACTTATTTTACATTTCAAATTCAAAAATACTATTTATTTAATCGCTCATAATTAACATTATGTTTTAATTAACCCGTATAATATACGGGTTTCACAACTAGTACATAACAAACGGTAGTATCAATACAATACACATAATAGACCTCAGATCTTCACTTATAAAACAAAAATCGACTTACAACTTTCTGTATACATATTGTCATTTGATGGCAATTCAAAGAATACAAAGTCTCTAACCATTTCATTTATTGACTAGTCATTCTTGTTTCTGTAAGATTAACTTCACGATCAAGATTTACAAATCTAGAATTTTCTTTTTCCTTCAAGTCATCAAGATAATGTTGATAGATATAAGAGACAAACCCCCAAATAGCTAACAACATGGAGACTGCCTTCACCCCATTCATCTTTTCATCAAAAAACACGACTGCCAAAATGGGCACAATTGGGATACCTAAAGTACTAATAACATTTGAAAAAAGAGATGAAACCTCAAAGATCAAGCCAATATAACCAACCGTGAAAACTTGCCATGAAACAGCTGTTCCTACAAGATTTATTATATACGAAGCCTTTCCAGACTCAAAATCCCACATTTCCTCCTTTATATCCTTCCATTCACCACTAGCAAATAGTCCCATGAGAATTACAACAGTTGCTATCAAGCTTTGATACACGGTTATATCAAATACCACCTTGTAGCTTGTAGATTTCAATATCTTTTGAAGTGCGAGTTGTGTTATTGAAAGCATCAAACCCCACCCTACACAATCAAAACATAATTTTTATATTGAACTGCATGTTACCACAATCAAGGTTGAAGCATGTGAGATTCGAACATGGGTCAACTCCATTTTGGATACTTAATTCCCAAGTCATCACCACAAGTCACTATACCATCTTTATTAATAGTTAGGTTCATGGTTATATATGAAAATTTTATTAAATATATAGTAACCAGGTTTTAACCTATTACAATCTAAATACATAATCTTTTCAATGAGAACATTAAATAACTTTTATCTGTGTATCATCATTGTCAAATTGTTTATCATTTCGTTTACATGTTAATGAAGATTCATATTTTATATGGTGATGATATGGCTTAAGTTGTTGCTATATATGTGGACATATTGTGCAAGACTAATGAAAAACTTTCATTTCATAGTTTTCATCTTTTTTGAGATTCATAAATTATTCTATGTTTAGAATGTTGTGAAATGTTTCTAGTGAGGTTAGTGATATTTTTCCTTAAAATTCTATCGTCTTCAAGTAGTTACTATTTTATAAAATTGTTTAAGTAAGTTTTTCACGACATATGTCCAAAATAAACAAGTTGAAGAAACGTCATTTCTACACCATTACTACAGGAAACAAAAATATGAAAATTCATAAAAATGTACCAAATATTATATAAAACTCCACAAGAATTAATTTGATAGGTTAAACTTTTTCTAAAATATGTCTATTGTTCAATTAACATCTCTTATTAATGGTTTAAGGAAGACGTTACCTGCAGAGGCAGCGATCGTGCATACAAAACCAATGATATACTTGCTTCTTGATATTTTCCCGGTCTCTTTAGAATCACTCTGAAACACAAGTAGCATAGACGAAAAACTAAGAAGAACAAGCGAATTAGCTATGAACGGAGTGAACTTTTGTCCATTAAGGAAGTATGAAAACAAGGCATTGAAAGCGAGTTGACTCGTACAGATCAATGAATACGTGGAAACTGGCAAAAAATTTAGTCCAAAAGAATACAACATACAATTTCCAGCCAAGAATATACCAAGAGTTGTATACAAAATCACAAGGGTGGTCCAAGATGATTTTCCGGTGACTTGGTGGTGATGCTCTAGTGGTGTTTTTGAAGGTGAAAATAGGAAGATAAAAGGTAACATAAGTGGAAATCCAACAGTTTGAACAAGTGTTGCCATCCATTTACTATTTCCACCATTGATGAAGTAAAGTCTTCCCAACATTGTTGCGGCTGATTGACCGGAGAGTACAAACATGGTGAACACTACTATCTGTATCCACCACTTGTACTGGAGAAACCTTGAGGAACCTCTTCCACCATCTAATTGATTTTCTTGTGGTGTATAAACTATAATGATTAAGTAGAAAGAGTTTAATTAGATGTAGAATCACAAAATGAAACATGTTCATGGTAATTTAACCGTTAATGCAAAATCTACATGGCCATTTCTAATTATATCTAATTGTTTCATAGATGTGTATCACACCCAACATAGGAAAACTCTAGATTAACTCATACTTGAACTTCACAAACGAGGTTTAGGATAATCATTATCCTTACATGATAGTCCTTGAGTAGATTCGGATGTCTAGAATATACGTTATATTTAGATGTTGATCTTTATTAATTTTCATGTTATTGTATGAGGACCATTTTATTATAATATTGTTTAATAATAAAAAGTTGATTACTTTTATCAATCATTTAAAATTCTTATTATTAACGTTTTTTCTTTCAACAACATTGTATTATATTTTCTAATTATAATATTTGAAATAAAATAATAAAATGATAAGATTGTGATAATAATAATTTTATTTTTATAACTATATGTAATGTAATTTTATCATATTTAATATATCGAAATTATCATACATAATTATTGTTAATTATAACATAGATAGAGTAAATTATATAAATGGTCATTGTAGTTTAGGATAATATGTATGGTTAGTTCTTAACTTTTTTCAATTAAAACCTAGCATAAAATTGTCATAGTTGTTAGGATAATGTATATGTTTAGTTCTTAACCTTTATTCACTCAGAAGCTCCTTAATGTATTTTTTTTTTTTTGCTGCAATTTGGATTTCAGCTATACATGATAGGATTATGTATTTTTACATTTTAATTATTTTGTTATATATATATATATATATATATATATATATATATATATATATATATACACACACACACACACCTTATCTGTTTCCTCTATTCTCCATAGTCACTAGACATGTCTCTTTCTCTCGATTATCTCTTTCTTCTTCACCCCATAATCTGTCGGTGTTTTTAGCCGCTAACGATTTCTCTGATCAGCATATCCACTACTTTTGCAGATCCAATCACGTCTCACCAACACCCTAACACTTGTCTCTCATATATATCTTGCATGAGAAGCTTCCTGTCATCATATATTTAATGACTTAGATCTATTTTTAACACACTTACAATGGGGTAAAGTGATATCTTATGCATCGTGACGGTTGAAGCCCCATGAGTTGAACTATCAGACCCATGATTTATAGTTAGTAGTTATCATTCAATCCTTAAAGATATGTAGGCATAATTTGTAAAAGACAAAATGCCAACTATACGTTCCTCAAAACATTTTACAATATCTACTTACCTAAAAAGAATTTTATATGAGGCAGGGATAGTAGATATAACTACATAAATATTATGATTGTGAAATTACATATCATCCCAACAAGGATAACATATTGGTGGATGATTTGAGTAGAAAATAAATCTAGTAAAAGAGGCAGGTTAAGGACCTAGGAATTAAAGTAATATCATCCATTGTTTAAGTGTTGAAAGTGGCACAAGAAAATTCAAGAAAAAAATGAAAAACTTGAGGAAAGAAAAAATTAGGAAAAATTGTAGTTTTTGAAAAGGAATCACATTAATTAAAAACATTAAGGGTCGGATAGAGGTGGCTATTATTAGGGACAAAAGAAAGATTCTACTTGATGATGCGTATGAATTTGGATACTAAATACACCCACACGACAAGAATGTACACAGATTTGAAACCATATTACAAATGACTGACAAAAATGTTGACATTGTGAAGTACAAAATTTCTTTTTTGACTTTCTCCTTTGTCAAAATCGAGAATCAATAGCTTTATTGTAATAGAGAACCACTTGAAGTGGTGGAATGGAAATAGGAAAAATCATCATGGATTTTCTAACAAAACTTACAAAAACTAAGAAGAGATATGAAAAGATTTGGTTGTTATGGACAAGTTAACCAAGAGTGTGCTTCCCCTTCGACAAGAGAAGCATGGCCCATAGAAACGTTTGTGAAACTATATGTAAAAAAAGTAGCGTAAAGACAAGGTGTACCTTTGTCTGTTGCGTCAGACACAGATTGTCATTTCACTTTAAATTTTTGGAGGAGTATGCAAGAGGAATTGGGGAAATATTTGTGTTTGAGTACTTCTTACCATCCTCAAACGAAAATTCAAAGTGAAGGAAGAATTCAGAGTTTAGAGGATATGTTGAGTTCTTGTTTGTTGGAAATTTAGGAAGTTGGATTAAGCGTGTCCCATTGATTGGATTCTCTTACAACAACAACAACTAGAAGTCAATAATTAACATGCGATCGTATGAAGCATTATATAGATGTAAGTGTATATTGCAAAATCTTTTTTACAAGCTTGCGAGAAAGTATTGATGGGGTCTAACTTGATTCATGAGACAAGTAAGAATGTAGAAATAACTAAAGAAAGAATGTTAGCAGTTCAGATTCAACAAAATATTTATGTGAGCTTTAAAAGTCACCTGATGATGAAATTTGAAGTGTGTGATCAACTATTATTGAAGGTATCACCATGGAGCGAATTGACCCGTTTTAAAACGAAGAGAAGTTGAATATACTATATATCGGATTGTTGAATGTGTTAGAAAGAGTTAGGGGACACAATTAATGTTTGGAGTTATTTCAAGAGCAAGATATGATTCATAATACATTTCATGTGTGCTATATTAGGAAATGGTTGGGTAATAAGGAGCGTTTATAAATATTAGAGGAAATTCAAATCGAGAATAAATGTGTAATTGAGGAACATTAAGAGATTGTGGATAGAAAAGTAAAGATGCTAAGAATAAAGATGATTCACTTGATATAGTTAAATAAATAAACTCATTAGGACTTAACCTCACATTGGAGACTGAATTTGGGATGAAGAAAAGATAGATGTGCCTCTTTTTTATCCAACGATTTAGATGATAAAAAGGTCCTAACGCAGAGGTAATTGTAACTTCATGTTTTAGGGGTTAATCCAAACTTTATTTAAGCATATATAAATAATTAATAAAAACAATTAGATAATAAACATTAATAGTTTTAATCGTATTATTGATAAATAAAAAAGTAATATAAGAGTGTGAACTTTGAGTAAAAATGTAGATGAAGGAACCAAAACTATAAAATATCCATACTTGAAGGGTATATTTGACTAAGTCTTGATCATATTGTCATGAATATGAAGATATGAGACAAATTTGTTGAAATAATAAGTTTCATTAAAAATAATTGGTCAAATAGTGTCTATTTTAGAAAATGCAAAACATAAGGCTCCATTGTGAAATATATATTAATTGTAGTTAGCCTAGTTAAGGACAATCCGTCCATTTCGGAAGAGAAACAAAACTTGGTGTAAGGAAATCTCCCATAGATGAATTATCATGCTTCAATGGTAATCTAAAGTGAACTTGTTAAAGAATAAGCTAGGGTTTGAAGATAAGAGTCCATCATAAAGATTAAAAGGTAGAAATTATTCTTTTTCAAGATAAATCTTGATCTAAGGTTTAGAGTTGACTCTAGGTCCAAAAAGAGGTCTCCATATGATATCAATAGTCGAATATAGTGTTATTTCTTGCATTTGAACTCTAAACCGCATGGAATATTTTAACCCCATGTTTCCAGATATTTCATTTATAGCTTAAAAATTAAAAAATAAAAAAACTTGCAATTTCAGTCATTACGCGGGGCATACCGTATAGGTACGTTGGGTGTAAATAATTTAGGAGGGATGTGTGTTCATCGAGTACGTCGAGCATAAATGATGACTATGAAGGGCGTACTCATGCATATTTTAATACTAAATTTTAGGGTTTAGTCCCTATTTAAAGGACCTTAAGTCCTCTAAGCCTTCCTTATCACCAACCTTTACCCCCTTGAGCTTAAAGATCGAAACCATAGTTCCTTAGAGCAATTTTTGAGTGTTTCTGGTGTGTTTTGTGTATCTTGAAGAAGGAGAAGGTTGAGCTTGGAGAGTTGTTGAAGCCAAGCTTGTAGATCCATAGTCTATATTGCATTTCCCAGCTTCATGAGGTATAAAGTTTGAATCTTTCTCACTTATATGATAGATATCATTAAATCCTTGTTTTTCTTAATCTTTTGTCCCATAACTTTCTGTCTTGTGAGTAGAAGTTACTCCAAACCTTAGGGCGGCTCGTTTTATATTGTCTCTAAGGTTGTTTAGACATAAAAATGGATTCTTGGTTACTACATTTCTTCCATACAAAGGATTTTGGTCATTAAGTGAGGTTGGAAAGTTAGGGTTTGAGTTGGAGCTTCTTATGGCCATGGAAGAGCATAAAGTTATCAACTTTATCATTCCAAACATTCATTGGGACTATATTTGAGCACTTGATGACTTGCCATTACGAATTAAGAGCTTAATATGGGAAGCATTTATCAGCCCATTACACAGGGCGTAATCTACCCAGCGTAGCTCATGATTAACTTGTACTTCCTGAGTGTACACTACGCCTAACGTAGAGAGGGTAGTACACAATGCGTAAGTCCCTTGCGTTGACCGTCGACATTTATTGACCAGTTGACTTTTGGTCAACTGTGAAGGGTAGAGGACTCAGAAGGGTAAAATAGTCTTTTGCCCAAATAAGAGCTTACTTTGGTATTGGGACTTTATGAGTTGGGGAATATTCTTAATTACTAATTTAGGGATGGTTAGAATATATTTAGTAGGAAAGACTTCAACACCACCATCCCGAGAGAGTGAGATATGTTCATTGTTCAATTGAGGTGAGTCTCTCCACTATACTTGTGGCTCAAAGGCACAAATTTTGGCCCACTAGATTATATGTTAGAAGGATATTTGTATTTGTGAAATTTGCTGATATGCCTGTATGTGCTTCTTGTCTTCATGACTCTTGCTAGTGATATTGTATGTTTAGCTGTAGGAGGTGAAATAGATACAATACCAGTTGAAAGATACCGAAGGTGAAATAGACCCGGTACCGCTTGAAAGATACCGAAGGAGTTAAAATAGACTTAGGGGTGAAATAGACTTAGTACTGGTTGAAAGATACCTA